ACCACATGAGAAAAGGAAGAAACAAAGTGCTAGAGAGGCCCACAGAAATCCACAAAGATACCCCCACAAAAGACTGCTGGCAATGGTCGAGAGACAGCCGGGACTGACTTACTCTGGTGATGGGATGGCCAAACACCCTAATAGTTGTGCCAGAAACCCCATCCAAGGACTGAGGAATCTAGAGGCAGACATCCACAGCTAGGCCCCGGGTAGAGCGCAGGGAGTCTAATTAGCAAGAAAGAGGAGGGTTTATATGAGCAATAATTGTTGAAACCAAGGTGGGATAAAGCACAGGGATAAATAGCCAAACAAATGGAAACACATGAACTATGAATCAAAGGCTGAAGGGCCCCCAACTGGATGAGGCCCTCTGAATAGGTGAGATAGTTGATTGGCTTGATCTGTTTGGGAGGCATCTAGGCAGGGGTACCAGGTCCTGGGCTCATTGCATGAGATAGCTGTTTGAAACCTGGGACTTATACAGGGATGCTTGTCTCAATCTGGGAGGAGGGGACTGGACCTGCCTGGACTGTGTCTCATCAAGTCGATCTCAATCCTCCAGGGAGGACTTGATCTGAGGGTGGTGGGAATGTGGGGAATGCTGGGGGGAAGGGGAGGGGGCAGGAAGGGGGAGAACAAGGGAATCTGTAGCTGTTATGTAGAAATGAATAGTATTGTAAAATAAAATAAATAAATAAATAAATAAATAATAAAAAAAGAAAAAGCAAAAAAAATAAACCACAATAATAATCCTAATAATAATTTTTGAGGAACTCAGTTGGGAGTTTGAGCTTGATATCAGCCTTTCTTCTTCACTTAGATTAGAACACAATCTCTTATATATCAAAAATGTTTTCTTCTTTTAGGCATGCGTTACTTGCTATGTAGTTGATTCCTATGTTTAGAATCATGCTTGTTTCCCACACCAATGAGACAGTAAATTAAAAACAAATTAAAAATTCAATATAGAAGTATCAAATACTATGTGGCAGGAGAGCATACTGTAGTTACCAAAAGGTGATTGCAGGCAATAAAAGTGGGGAATTCCAGGACACTGTACTAGGTGAGGCCAGTCTGAGAAATCTACCTTAAGAAAACATGTTGTGGTAGGGAACACAACAGAATAGGTGGAGCCAGGAAAGAAACCCTTCTCATTTGATAATACACACAGTCACTAATAAAAGTAGTTTAACTAAACAGGACATCTCTCTGATCTATATTTTCTACAGTAACTGAATATTGAATCATAATGCCCAAAAACAAAAAAAAAATTAAAAAAAGTAACTTTTAGGGCCTTGAGAGATGGTCTGGTCAGTAAAATGCTTGTTCAAGCATCAGGACATGAGTTTGGATTCTTAGCACCTAGAGACTAAGGCACTGTCGTGTGTGTGTGTGTGTGTGTGTGTGTGTGTGTGTGTGTGTGTGTGTGTCTGTGTCTGTGTGTCTGTGTCTGTGTGCATACAGTCTCAGCACTAGGAATCAGCCATAGGAAGGTATTTGGAGCTCACTACCAGGCAGTGGTCAATTAACATTTCTAGGCTGAATTTGAGGTTCTTTGTCAAAAATAAGGTGGAGGACAATTAGGGAAGACACTAGCATCATTTTCTACTGTAAGTATGCAAGCTCAAGCATGTGCCTAAGCAACTGCACACATGTGCACCACTTGCCCAAACATGTACAAATATATATAAAATGCATGTGTACAAACTAACTTCCTTATTTTGTAGATCAATGTTCTATAATTTTAGTTCCTAATGCTTTCTTCATTCATCTATTGCTTGAAATACATCATGCAGAATATATGAGATGGGATTTGTGCTTTGTACATAATTAATAAACAATTTACCACCATTTATTACAGCTTTCTTTATTTTCTCTAGTTTTTTTCTTTTATTCTTTACTCTTTCTGGGGTCAAACACTCAGCTCCCAAATAATCACATGGAGAAATATTCTTCCTTATGAATATCGGGCCTTAGCTTGGCTTGTTTAAAAACAGTTTTTCTTATCTTAAATGATCCAGTCTAAATTTTGCCTCTGGGCCTTTACCTTTTTCTATTTTTGTATATCTTTTTTTACCTTTTAGTCTGCTTCTGGCAGTATGGCTGGGTAGCTGCTCCTCAGCATCTTTCTCTCCTTCTCCTTTCCTCAGTACTTCCTCTTCTCTTTTTCTCCTACTTATTTTCTCTGACTGGCTGCCCCATCTATCTCTCTCCTGCCTAGCTATTGGCCATTCAGTTCTTTACTAGACCAATCAGGTATTTTAGACAGGCAAAGCAACATGGACTAACAGTGTTAAACAAATGCAACGTATCTTTTCATCATTAAACAAATATTTTACATCATAAACAAATGTATCATATCTTGAAATAATATCCCACAGTATTTCTCTTTTGATGGGTTCTTTATTAAATACCAAAGTCATTTACTATAATCCTTTATTTCTTCTTTTTTTTTGGTTTTTTTTCGAGACAAGGTTTCTCTGTGTAGCTTTGGGCCTTTCCTGGAACTCACTTGGTAGCCCAGGATGGCCTCGAACTCACAGAGATCCGCCTGGCTCTGCCTCCCGAGTGCTGGGATTAAAGGCGTGGGCCACCACCGCCTGACCTTTATTTCTTCTTAAAGTGCTATTATACCATTTATATTATTATGATATTGTAAGAAATTTATATATTTTTAGAATAGCTAGGCATCTTGTTAATGTTCAGCCTGGTTCAAATTTTCAATTTCAAAGATTAGGAAAGAGGAAAGGGTAGTGATACATATAAACTGATACTGAACTGGAAAAGTTCAGTAATCCCAGCACTTGTCAGGCAGAGGAACCTGGACATTTTTGAGTTTGATATCTGCACATTGAGTGAGTCCCAAGAGAGCTAAAAATATACAGGGTGACCATGTATCAACAAAACAAACAACAAAAACTGGAAACTATGGAGTACCATTACTAGAAATGTGAGCAATGTCTCTGTACCCACTTTTATTTTTTCTTTTATTAATATTAATAAGAAATTTTCTACTCATTTTACATACCAACCATAGATAACCCGGCCTCATTCTTCCCCAACACCAGCTTTCCCCTCAATGCACCCCCATTCCAAATTCCCCAGTTTAAGTTCACCCATGGGGATTCAGCAGAGCACCATACATTCAACTGAGGCTTGTCCAAGGCCCTTCCCTCTGAACCAAGGATGCACAAGGTGTCACACCTTACACACTAGGCTCCAAAAGCCTAATCATGCAACAGGGATGGATCCTGATCCCCTGCCTGTGGCTTCCCCAAACAGTTGAAGCTAAACAACTGTCTCTAGCAACCAGAAGCCTAGTCCAGTCCTATGGTGGCTCCATAGCTATGGTGAACCCTCTTTTAGACATGTACTCAACTGTAGTGTATGTAAAGAAAGAAACAAACATTTTTCCATTTAATTGTATTTTATTATTCAAAGGCAATAAAAGAGATAACAGTACTTTAAGAAATATTTACAAAATCACTAATGTGCAGGATTAAAGGTTCTCCCTTCATGGCTACTGGAGAAGAAAGGCCGGACAGGGTTTTTAAAGATGCCAGGGGGGCACCTGTATATGAGGGAACTCTTGGCAACATTCACAAAACTTAAACATCCACGATCACAATCCAGGAGCACCCCAACCCTGCCCAGGGGCCTCTCTATATAGTGCCAAAATAGAGGGCATGTGGTGAGGAGACAGTAATGATTACCCTCCTTCATACACACAAGAAGAAAGGCACCCTCAGAGTCAATCATTTGGTTTGTATTCCTTAACCAGGAATCCTCACATACCCCTACAGCCCAGTCCCCAGACTCCTGCAAATCCATCTCCCAGTAATATTTCCCTGAGATGAACTCCAAGGATGCCCAGCAAGCCAAATAGCATCCAACAGAATCCGCAGATGTATCCTCAAGGTGAGGTCCGGAGCTGAATTCTCTCAAGCCATTAAATAGGTTCATCATGGAATGGGAGGTGGTTACATTGTCAAAGAAAATGTGGACCTGGAATTGCTTGCAACTTTCAGTCAGTCCAGTGATGGGTAGGGCACTGAGTTCGGGTTCCATAACTTCTGGCATGTTCAGCTGCATTGACTCACTCCTTCTGACCATGTCATCCAAACCCTGGAGCAGTACCACATATGGCTCCTGGGACATTGCCATCAGCTCCTGAAACATTTCTCTTAGATCTTTGCTCTTTTGGACGATCATGGCTTCACTCTTCCTCAGTTTATCTAAAACACATTGGCCTTCCTTTCTCATGCACTCGATATGTTTCTCTTCCTCTTCACAGAGGAATGGATGCAGCTCCCTATACTCTGTCCTGATCATTTCTTCCCGCAGAGTCACATAGTCCATCCATAAAGTTTTTGTTCCCATGTTTGCCTCGATAGTCTCTTCAATTTCTTGGATCTTCTCCCATAAAGATGCCATCTGCTTCAGAAGTCTTTCCATTTCATCTTCAGCTGCTGCCTCAATGGGACAATGTCTGTGACCTCTGTGCTCATGGGAATTAGAGCAGAGCTGACAGAGGAAGATCCTGCTCTCAACACAGAAGATCCTCTTTGTCTCCTTGTGGCTCACACACTTATGCTCCTCAGAGCTCAG